GCGGGGGACCCACGCCAAGCTGCTCCCGCCGCATCTCCGTGTCCCCCTCAGCCCGCTCCATCTGCATCTCCCGTGCAAAATCTTCCCCTGTGGCACGTCATCGGGCGTTCTTGGTGTTTCGGGTACCGCTCCTTGTCGTTGCACCCCGGGGTGGGAAGCGGCTGCGACTGCTAAGGATCGGACTGCAGTCCCTGTTCCTAAAAGCCCGGTGCTTGCCACGGGGAAGGTTTTGGGGGAAATTCACAGCACTGGGGAGTGAGGCCAGGAGAGCATCTCGAAGCCTGGGGATGACATAGGCAGGTGGGTGAGTGGAGGGGTCATCATGGGGAAGGGTGCTGGAGCGAGGAAGGGTAGTGGGCGGCATGTGCTTCGTAAGAGGGTGTTGGTGGGCAATGCCAGGCACCGAGTCTCTGGGGGACGCGGATGTTTCCCTGCGCGATGGTATCTCGGCCGACGTGGGAGGCGAGGGCAGCTGGGGAGCGGGCACCTCCTTGGCCTGCCCCCTCGGTGAGAAGGGCGCTGGCGTGGGGTAGCGCGACGGCTCCCATGTCAGCCGGGGTCGGAGGTGGGAGGATTCCCCTGGCAGGCGGCGGTGGGAATCTGGGAGTGGGTGGGCCCCGCGGTCTGGGAAGTGCGTGGCGGGGTCTCCCTGCAGCGTCTGACCCGGCGCACAGCACTTTGTGTGGCTTTGCTTTTGTGTGCGCAAAATGCGTGTCAGCGGGAAAAGTGCAATCTCAGGTTCTCTCCCACAGGCCGCTCTTTGTTCGCTGATAAAGGGCCTCACTCCAAAGGCCTTTTGTGTCGCCGTTTAGAGCAGTGCTGGGATTAATTGTACCAATAGGTGCCTGAATGGGGAGTGCACAAGGCCGCTCGTTCCTGCTATAATTATCTGGAAGCTGAGGAGGGAATTAAAACATGGAGGAGACGCCCCATCTGGTGGCAGTGCCCCTCGCAGAGAGTGGCCTCATCTGCTTCTCTGCACCTCCACCCAGGCCACGGCCAGATGTTAGCCAGCTGCAGCGGTCGTCGGCCTAGAGAATCTCCCGTTCCCTTCCAGGGACCTCCCTCTTTCTCTGGGGAGGGCGAGCGGACCACGGAGCGAGGTGCTGCCTGCCAGCAAACGCCGCAGTGAGGACAGCTTCCTTTCCAGAAGGCACTGTGGGTCAGATGCCACCTCCTTAAAGAGACCCGCTTGCTCCTGCCGTGGTGCCTGTCCTGTGGCATGGGCTGCAGGCCCGTTCTTGCATGGGGAGCTCAGCTCGGGGAAGGGCTCGCTCCATATAGCCCCCACGACGTCCTTCCACAGATGCTCCTACAGGGCTCGCCGCTGGAGACTGAGCCCTGCTTTCCCTGCGCGGAGAAGGGCACAGCTCGCACCTGAATTTCAACCTGGGCAGGACGTTCGGGAAGCTGGGCGCTCCCAGGTTCAAAGCCAAGAAGAAGGTGTAGGACTTTCAAAGCTGCCGCCATATACTCGCGTGCCCACAAAAAGTTTCCCAGTAACCGGCGCCAGTGGAACTGGGCTGCTCCCACAACCCTCCGTGTCTGCAGCCGGCTCGTCTTTAGGCTGCAGGTTGGCCGCCGGGGGAGTGTCCATTACATTGGGCCAGGACTTGGCCCGTGGTGCCAGCTCCCAGAAAGCAGATCGCTCCCTCCTAAAAGCGTGCGGGCGTGGGGGGAGCTGTGTTCAGTTCTGGATCCTTAGGCTCAAGGCATCTAATCTTGCGGCTTGGCAGGCCAGGTCCTCCCCTCCTGGGAGCTGTCTGCAGATCTGGGCAGGCCACACGCTCCCCTGCGCCGCAACTCCTGGGCCTCTGAAACCCACCACCCTGGAGGCCAGCGTGCCCGACCTTCACGCACAGCCGAGTTGGAGAGGAGGTTGCAAAAGGCTCGTGACCCCACCTGGCTCCTCTCTCCCCTTCCCGGGCAGGCTGCGAGCCTGGGAACCAGGTCCCGCTCCTTCCGCTTTTGCCCTTCCTCCTCTCTTTGTTTCTTCTGTCTCGTGGCTCGGAGTTATTTCCCCTCATTCTCATTCTTTCGGTGGGCTGGTGCTGTGGCCTGCCTGCGTCTCGGGCAGGATCCTGGTAAATCAGGATGCAGGCGGCGAGCGTGCTGTCAGAGCGAGGTGTCTGTCACGGATCGGCACATGCTGGGGCTGCAATGCCTCCGAGAAGGACGGCGTTTCCTGAAGGGCTGATGAGCGGGCACCGGCTTCGCCCTTGGGGTTGTACTGAGCAGGAGCACACGGGGCGGCACTCGCCCTTTTTCAACTTGAAGCGCCCGTGGTTAGACTCGCGGCACCCCTCAGACAAGGCGGCCCCTTTTCATTCTCCTTTTTTTTGGCTGCAGAAAAATAATAGAGCAGTTGCAAAGAACTTGGAAAGGCCGCTGTAAGCCTCCATTTGAAATCTCTGGCTTTATCTTGTGAATCCTGTTTGCACGCCGAAGGGTGCTCACACGGTGTGAGACCCTTGGAAGGACCGCAAGGCACCTGGGCCCCCTGCTTGAGAGTCATTGCTATAGCACATGGCTAGAGCTGCTTTCAGGACCTCTAGGCCCAGGAGATTCACAAATTCATAGAAGTTTAGGGCTGGAAGGGACCTCGTGAGATCGTCGGGTCCAGCCCCCTGCTCTGGGCAGGAAAGACTGGATGGACGAGCGGACTTGGGAGATGCATTCTCACTGCCAGCCAGGCCCCTGGAAGGGCATGAGTTCAGCTAACTCCACTGCAGAAAGCCCAGCCCACCTTGCAGGGCCTGGATTTCACTCCATTATACCTACATGCCAAAAGAGGTCATGAGCCTCCTGGCACAAGAGAACTGAGCTTCTTTTGAAACTCAAGCTTTGTATGGTCATGGCTGGAGCTCTTATTCCCTCCCTGTGAGCCCTCCGGGAGGGCTTGGCACCCTCTCGGCCTCGGTGCTCTGTGCCAGGCTCCCACCTCGCCGTTTGGCCCGTGCCCAGGGATCCCCTTGCACGTGGATGTTGCAGATGTCAGTGGCTGTCAGTGCAGAGCAAGTGGCTTTTCTGCAGCCACTTGGGTCAATCTGAGACGCTGAGCAAGAGTGGCTGCATATTTTGGGCACCAAGGAACACAAGCATGCCCATGTTTGGGCAGCTGGCTTGTCAGGGCCCGGTCCTCTCAAGAGGGGGTGGATGTGTGTGCATCCCATCATGAAATACATTCCTCCAGAGACATCCATGCTTCCAGTGAAACTCGGTTTCTTCTTCCTAGGAGCCCCCCTGAGCCTCCTTGCTGAAGGAAGAGCTCCTAGAAAGACAAAATGCAAATGGCTGTTGCAGTCCTGAATCCCTGCTGGGTCTCCTGGAAGCTGTCTTGTCTCACAGCCTCAGGCAGAGGCAATATCCTTTCCCGGCCTGCAGCTCTGCTCCTCGCTGACCTGACTCAGGGCTTCCCTTTGGGAACAGAGCTTGCAGAAGTGGCTAACGACACCCCGCGTCATCTGGGGTGCTGTGGGCAGTGCCCTCTGACCGCACTCTGTCCCTCTGAGCTGTCTCTGGTGTGGACGGCTCAGATTCGGGTTAGGAAGCCGGTCCAGAGTTCTGCAGGGAAATGGGTGAATCCAGACATGCTAAAATCATGTTAGCAGGCAAAGAGGTTTGCGTGACTCTGCAGGCTCCCCTTCTCCCTGGGGCGAAGTGGGGACAGTGCAGCAGTGTCTCTCTTGGGATGCTAAACCATGTCTTGCCCCTCTTCCCTGCTCTGAGCTAAGAACAGCACTTTTACTTCCTCTCCAAGTCATGGGTGCTAAGCCTCATCCTCAGCCTGCCCAGCAGGACTCGGCAGGCTTTTAGAGACGGCGCCAATAGTCCTCTTGGGTTCAAGTGCCACTGGAGGCCTCTGGTCCCTGAATCTCTCTCATGCCTCCTCCAGTGCCTTCTCCCTTGGGAGAGTGAGCCAGGCTGAGCCATGATCCAGGGACTCGGATACCTGTGGCCTAGCATTGAGGCCTCCGTCCTACCACCTAATGCAGAACCCACCGTTTCTGAGACCTCTGCATCCCTGCTCCCTCCGTCCGGCTGCCCGCCCTGTTGGTCCGGTCTTGGCTGAAGGGTAGAGTGGAGTAGTGGCTAGAGCACTAACTGATGCTCCATGACGTGGGTCCGATCACTGGCCTGCTGGGTGACCTGGAGAGAATCGTGTCTCCTTGCCGTGCTCCATTTCCCCATCTGTCTCATGGTGATGGTGACCTCCTTTGGGAAGGACCGGGCGTGTAGGCTAGATCGGCTGCCTGTTCCCTGAGGCACTCTGTTGAAAAGGGCTATATAAGAGCAGGTGGTCATTTGCTTGAAAAGCCTTATTTAGTATCTGGACCTCTCCAGCTGATATATAACACTCCCTCCTCTTGGCCCAGGCTGACATGGGGCCTCTTTGCTCAGAGGCTTTGTAAATAGCCCTGAGCTCCAAACACAGAGATTTGCCTTTCCTCCCCGGTATGGGGCAAAGTCGCTTTCTTCCATGCCGTCCAAGGCAGGGGCCATGACTTGCCTGGATCCATCTGTCCCACCAAGTGTCTTACCCTGCTGCAGAAGAAGCCCCCGGCCCGTTCCTCCAGCCATTCGCTTGGCTGAGAAGAGTGGGGAAAACATCTCCCCAGTGAACAAGCCGCGTTGCAAAGCCAAGCTGCGTGCAAAGACTGTAGAAGCACCCGTCGTGTAATCTGTCTGTGCAGTGACATCTCCAGAGAAGACCACAAGCCTGGTGCGTGGCCCAGGAGCAACCCACTGCTGTCCTGACAGTGATTCCTGATTGCACTAACTCCTCTGCCTGTCTATGGCAGAATCCCTTGGAAGAAGACCATTTCAGCCTGGATGACTTGAGCAAGGAGGGCTCTGGGCCGCGCCTGGCATCGTGGCACCAGATCATCCTAGAGCTCCTCGGCTGGGGCTACCGCAGCATGGGGAGAGTGGCCCCACCATCCTACAAGGGCTCTGCAGGGAGGCTGCTTGGAGCTTGAGTCGAGTTCTCCCTTGGTATGCAGGCCAGATGGGCCCCCTCTTTCCAGGGGCACCCTGCTGCGGTTCTGCCCGCTGGTCTCCAAGTAAGGGAATCAGTTGAGGCAATTTGTGAAGGTGGCTGGTAAATGGAGTTGCCCGTCAGCAAATCCCCATTCACCCTTTTTCCTTCCTTCCTTTGCTCATCGTCAACCCAAGACTCTCCCAGCCAGGAGAGGCTGAGTTGAGGGGAGCCTTGAAGAGGCCATGGAAGATACTCCAGGGAGGGTGCTGCTTGCCCTCACCCTAATTGCAACCCAGGGTCCTGCGTATCTGGGTGCAGCAGTGGTTACAGCCTTTTTAGACTCAAGGCATCCCTGGATAGATCAGAGGCACCCCATGGAAAATGTCAGCTCTTCATTCTCACTTGTTTTTTGACTACAGAAAAATAATAGGCAGCTTTTTTAGTTGCAAAAACTCAAAAGGACCGCACCAGGTTGGGATATTTTTAACGCGGTGGATTCCTATTCAAAAGCACTGGATTTACCTTGCGAGCTGTGTTTGCACACCCAGCAGGGGTGACGTGGTGTGCACCCCACAGCGCAGGGTTGAGAGTGGCTGGCTTCATTCCTCTAAGAAGTAAATGGAACGGCTGGAGACTGCGTGGGAGCAAGCAGGAGCCTGGTGTCCTGGCCGTGGTGCGGGAGAACTCCCACAGCCAGAGATTGGGAAATAACCTTGCTAGGGAGGATGTTGGGTGGGTTTTGGACTGACGGCTCCTCTGTAACAGCGCAGCATGGCTGGTGCCGAGCGCCCCGCAGGGCTGGCTCCTACCCCGTTATTTAGACCAGGAGCAAGCAAAATATGGCCTGCAGGCCAGTTCCAGCATGCCAAGGGATTTTATCTGGGCTGCGGCGGGTCCCTTGGCCTTGGCTGGCCCAGGTGCTGGGGGGGCAGCCTGAGCTGTGGCACGTCTGCCCGGCCTTGCCTCCACATCGCCCTGGGTACACAGCAGGGCTGGGGTGGCGTGGGGGCCAGACTCTGCTTCCCAGCAGCCCTATGGGTGGTGGCTCCT